TTCTGAATAAACTTGTGATTTTCAAAACACCACTTTCACCCAGAGTTCCCTTCTGCCGAGTTCTCTCTTGCAGACATTCCATAGAAATTAGAAATTATAAGAACATTTTGATTTATGAATCGTAGAGTATTTATTGTTGTAGCATTGTTTATAGTATACATTTTAACACCCACTCATTGATATCATAAAATTATTTTCTTTAACAAATATGTTTTATGCTAGAAGCAGTATATTTTTAAGTAACACCTAAAGACTAATGTCATATAAACATTTGCCCCATGGGCTTGTGATCATTAACAAAGATACTGGATTTGCTTTCTATAACTGGGACTTTCAGTGATTGCATCAGAACTGCTTGTTCACTAGTGTTACAACAGCACCATCCAATGCCAGAATTACTTTCCATAATCCATTTATTCTAAAAGAAGTGATATGAAGCTTATGTTTAGAACTTACTTGCTTTGTTGAAGAATAGGATCAAGACCCAGTAGCTGTTGCATTTGTCCAAGTTTTCAGCCCCATCTAGAGATGAAGAAGCATCAGTCCTCTCCTTTTTCTCCCACACACACATCTCTCTTCTGATACTTCACATACTGCTGACTTTTAACCTAGATGTCCACTAGCAAACATAGCTGTGCTTAGCTTAACTGGTTCCCAGGTAAATGAAAATCAATAAGCTTTTTATTTATATTTAAATTATCATAGTACATACATGGCTTAAAGAAAATACAAGGTAAAGGTTTAAATTAATTTACAGTCAGCCATTTTTTCCCCCTACTTTCTAAAGGCTCTTAGAGAATTTGTGCAGATACTCTGGAGTTGGAAGGCTACACTACTAGTCCCTTAGTCTAGTGTTTCTGTCCACAGTTAAATATACACATAATTGTTGTCATTTTAGAGGGATAGAATCTTATTCCTCACTGTATGTTCTCACATCTTTTGTTCCATCCTTCCTGTTTGCTATTAATTCATTTAGCAAGCCAGAATCTTTTAGTGTGTAGGGGGAGCCAAGGGGAGAGTTGATATACCACTCTGTGCCATCAGGTTTTTATTGCTGCTCCTTGCCAACACAATATTCATTATAGTAATAATTACCTTTTGCAGGGTACTGCCTCAGAAATCTCATTTTCTTTCGTAACTCAAGAATAGTCTTTTTTTCTCTCAGCAGGTGTAAGGCATCATCTTAAACTTATGGCATATTATTAGAATCATCTCATTACTTGACTGTGTCCCCACTTGTGTGTTAGTTAGCACCATGAAAGTGTTCTCAGTGACTGGACAGTCACTAGCATTATAGAAGGTACTTAACAATTGAATGAACTGAGTGACTGAAGCCAGCTAGTCGGCTTAGAGAGACGAATATCTTATACTATTTATCCAAATCAGACGTTGAGTCCGGGTATCATCAACATGGGCCTGATCAATGCCGAATTAATAAATTGGTAAAAATTGCTTAATCTCAGTGTTGTTTAGGATGTCAAATATGTTTAATAAATGCTTGAAAAAGTCATTTCCTTTTTATATTTATTTTACTTTCATTTTTTAATTTTATATTTATTTTTATATTCATGTTATTTTTATATCAATATTATCTATTTTATTTTGTATATGAAGTTTGATCCTAGAAACTGGAGTTTATATCATAAACTATTTTCCATGCCATAACAGCATCCTATTTCAGAACCTAACTTTGAACATGAGCCGTACATGTGCATATTTAAGGCATAGTTTTATATATTTTTTTAAGTCTACAATATCCTTCAAAAGGAACATTTGTGTATGGCTATACAACTTATTCTAAAGAATTTTTTTCTAAAGTTTGGAATTATTATGAAACTCACATTTTTCCAGTATTTTACAGTTTTATCTGTCTTGTTTAGCATGCCCTAAAGCAGTTACATAGCTCTTTTTTAATATGCTAATTTTATCTGTGCAGCCTGCCTTGACAGCATATCTTTTTATTGATTGAAATTCCAAATCTAGGTTGAGGACTAGAATTTAATAATATAAATGTGTTAACTAACATAAAACAACATTAAAAAGTGTTTACCATTATGCAGATATAGTGAAACATTATAAACTTAGCATTCGGTCCAGTATTACATCGACCTGGCCCTGTTTGTTGTGGTTTAAGAAGATTGTGTTTAGATGGTGACTCAAAACAGAGACATTATTTTTAGATGTCTTCACTTTTTCTCCCCCTTTCCACTCCCAAGTGTCCAGATTCAGGTGCACAGAAAACAGAGGGTCAAACCTAAAAGCCAACATGAAAGAGTCCTGTCTTCCCTAGTTTTTAATAATTATTTATACTTCTTACTATATATTCCAGTAATGTAACAATGAAGCCCGAAGCTGTAGCTGAAAAGCTTTAAAACTTTACTTTTGGGAATAAAACTAAACAGATGAAATACAGAGATATTTCTAAGTGTAGTGGAACAAAATAAAATTATCCTCTCTCAAAATAAATGGCAGTTAGGGAAAGCAATTTTTCCTGTCATGGGTAAAAGCTAGGGAACAAAAAATCAGCATTTGAAATGTTAACTCAGTGTTTTAAATAAAAAGAATCTAAAATGCATGTACATTATCTATTCCCAAGGATGATTGAAGATTCTTGTTATTAAGTCCTGCAAAAAATACATAATGAACTTGGCAGGTGGAACTATAAAAACTAGAGACGAAAAAAGACATATTAGGTCAAATTTTAAAGTTTTCTGTTTTGAGGGGCTCCATTGCATTACTTAATCAGCTCAGTCTCTTATTTGTTCTCCATCTGGAGTCTATACTTATAGGCATGCAAAAGAAAAGAAATCTTTGATATTTGAAGTGATAATGAAGATTAAAAGTCCCTAAACCTCTGCAATTTTATTTCATTCATCTATAAAGTTATAGTGGGAAAAGCATGAATTAGGAATCAGTTTCTTTCTAAGCCCATCATTGGCACTTAGTAGTTTTTGTATCCTGAGCAAGTCACTTAATTTTTCTGAGCTTCTGTTTCTTCATTTGTAAAACAAAATTTGAAATGCCTGTTTTATCTGAATCATGGACTCTGCTGAGGATGAAAGGAGTCAAAATAGGCTTAATATACTATAAAGTGTTTTACAAGTTTTAGGTAGGTCCATTTAAATTTCCCATTTTGCATATGAGGAAAGGCTGAGAGAGGCTAACAAGCTTGTTGTTGAAGGTCACACAACTAGTAAGTAAGAGATCTCATTCTAAAATCCAAGTCTAAATTTCAGCATTTTTTAACATTGGCACTATTGATGTTGGGGGGTGATCCTTCTTTCAGGGTAGAAGGGGAGCTGTCCTGTGCATTATTGAATGTTTAGCAGCATCCCTAGCCTCTACCATGTAGGTGCCAGTAGCACCTCCCAAGTTGTGACAACCAAAAATATCTCCAGACCTTGCCAAATGTCACCTGGCAGGCAGAATCACCCCAAGTTGAGAACCATTGATCTATATGATTCCAGAGCTAAAGTTCTTAACCATTTTTACAGTGACATTCATCGGTGTCGTTGTGATTCTGAGTAGTTCCTGGTTGGAATACTTTATAACCTAGCAATTTTCAGAATTAAAAAAGAGATAACTGGGGTTTTCATCTATTATCTTTCTGTTTCTGAATGTTAGCAGTGACATTGTCGTCTTTGTAAGGTCCCTGTAAACAGAAGCTATCACTTGACAGGGAACACTATCAACAGTGAGCCAGATGTCAGACTCAACAACCCCTAAAATCCCTTCCCCTGTAATTCTTTGATCATTTTCTAATGGCCCTGCTGGTCTCTCTTCAACAGTCCCATCTCATCTGAAATGTTTATGGGTTTCTGATATCTGTTATGTGAGAGGCCAAGGGGAGATACATCTATTTGCATAACCATTATCTCATTTAATCTTCACAATAAGCCCTTGAGGTTTGTACCAATCATCCATGTTTACATTTTGTTTCGGGATCTTAACCCTTCTTCTTTGCCTGTTCCTTCAACTTTGGTGTTCTCATTGCTGAACTTGATGTA